GAGAACCCATGAGACACTAGCTCAGTCTCTTCCTATTACATACATGCAGTTCAGTAGGTCCAAGGTGTGGAAAGGATAAAATCTGTTGCTTTACTCTAATTTTGTCCCAGTTTTCTCCCCAATCAGAACCCAAAGTGGCTTCCAACATTGTCCTCCCCGCCTCCATTTTATCCTCACAACAACCCTGTGATGTAGGTTAGGCCAAGTGAGTGACTTGTCTGAGCTCATCCATGGGAGAGAGTAGATTTGAACCCTAGCCTTCCTAGATCTTAGTGCCACACTCTAACTACTACATCACACTGCCTCTTCGCACCATACCAGCGTGACCATCCCTTGCACTTAATTTGCTATCAAAAAGAAATCTTCAAATGCCTTTCCAGTGGACACTGACTGAGGCGAAATGGAGTTGTACTGTTAGCCAACAAGGTGTATGACTTATTCAAGCAGCAGCAGCAGAAGAGGACAAAGAAAAGAAGAGGAGATTGGATTTATACCCCACCCTTAACTCGGAATCTCAGAGCTGCTTACAATCTCCTTTCCCTTCCCCACAACAGACACCCTGTGTGAGGTAGGTGGGGCTGAGAGAGCTCTGACAGAAACTGCTCTTGAGAGAACTTGTGACTAATCCAAGGCTACACCAGTAGCTGCTTGTGCAGGACGGAGGACTCTAATTGGCTTCTCCCAGATTAGAGTCCACGTCCTTAACCACTACACCAAAAGGGTGTGGGGTAGGATTGAGGTGGTGAGGTTGAGGTGGTGGCTGGTGACTTCTAGCTATTACAACTGGCTGCTGCTGGTGGTGGCTGGAGACCTCTGCTATGACAACTGATCTCCAGGCGACAGAGATCAGTCCATCGGGAGAAAAAGCGGCCACTTTGAAAGGCAGACTGTAGTAGGGCATTATGCCCTAATGAGGTCCTTTCCCTCCCCAAACCCCGCCCTCCTCAGGCCCCACCCCCAAATCTCCAGGAATTCCCCAACCCGGAGCTGGCAGCCCTAGTTGTGGGGACAGGGCTGTGTCAAGAGCCAGCCGAGACCCTCTCTGGTGCCCCCAGGCCCAGCCCACGGAAAGCCAACCAAACAGCGCGGTCTGTCCGGCACGGCACCGTCCAGGGGTCCCTTTCGCTCAGGGGCCGAGAGACGGCGCCTTCCGTGGGGTGGGGTGAGTGGGGTGGGTGGCCCGCGGTTCCAGCCGCCTCAGCCGCTGCCCGGGCGAGCGAGTGAGGGAGGCGGCGCCTTAGGAGGCGGGCGGCGCCCTGGGTGAGGGGACTGAGGAAGTTTTGCTGTCGGGCAGCCGGAGGGAGACGCGCGCCGGGCAGAGAGAGAGCGCGAGAGAGGGAAGCGAGCAGGGCTGCCTGGCCGCGGCGGGCGCGTGTGTGGCAAGGAGGAGCCGTCGAGGCCGGGGGAAGGAGGCACAACAGCCTTTCCACCGCTTCTCGTCGTCGCCCGGACGGCCACCCGCGCCATGGGCGGCTCAGCCTCGAGTCTGCTGGACGAGAGCAAGTGCACCTACATCCG